ACGGGTGAAATCCGAACGTGGGTAATTTCGACAGCAGACCATGCCAAACGCGGTCGAAGGCCTTTGAAATGTCGAGTGAGACCATGCGAGTTTTGCAACAGACCAGGACTGTGATGTGAGCGCCAGTAGATCGACGAGGGCGAAATCCATACTGATGGTCATTTAACAAACTTTTGAGTTCGAAATACGTACGCAGCTGGTCGGAGATGATGGTTTCAACCACTTTCGAAATTACAGATGTGAGAGTAATGGGATGGTAGTTGCTGAGGTCGGAAAGGCCATCGCAATTTAGGATTGGAAAAATAATAGCATTTCTCCATGGAGTAGAGAAAGATTCAAGATCGAGTTAATAACGGAAAAGGCGGCATAGAATAGGGGCTAACTACGGGGCACACATTTTTAGGATGATAGGTGGGATACCGTCCGGACCGAGTGGTTTACAAACATCAAAACCGCGAAGAGTTTGGTGGACCTTTCTTTAATAGGTAGAAAGGAATGATTGGACGTGTAGGAGGAGGGTTGAACAGTAGAGGCAGCAGATAAGGTGAAGTTGGAAGCAAACCGGGAGGTGAAAACCTCTGCTTTTTCGTGAGGATCACATACAAGAGTACCAGAGGAATTGCAAATGGGAGGAAATTTGCGTAGAACCGCTTTAGCGAGAGACCCGAATGTTCGGTTACCGGTGGCGGAAGAAGCCAAGCGTGCAGCGTTATGGCGAATGAGGCGTTCTTTAGCTCTCTGCATGGTAAGAGAGTACTTGGTTTTGGCTTCCATGAAACGGTTTTTGGGATGCTGGATTGGGTGACTGGTGCTAATGACGGAATACTGAGTTTTTGAAACGCGTAGCACGGTTGCACGCATGATTAAACCACTCAGGGGATCATAGTTTGCCGGGTTTTGAGAAGTGTATAATATAAAGATACATAACTTGAAGAACGATCTCAGTGAAGTTTGAAACAGACGTAGAAACATCTGATTTAAAACAGAAATCCCTTCAGGGATGACTAGCCAGAAAGTCAGCAAAACCGTCCCAATAGGTGCGTCTGGAGTTAGATGATGAAATGGAGGGAGTGAAATGAGTGAGAAAGGAAATGAGATAATGGTCCGCTGAACCTAATGGGAAAGGGAAGTGATGTTGGAGAAAGAAGGAATGAATGTGCGAATGAGGTCAAGGGTATGGGTGCGGTCACCAATACGATCAGGGATGCGTGTGGGGAGGTCAACTAGTAGCAAAAGCCTCGGCTTCGCGTCCCATGAACGTAGTGTTTAAGGAGTGATTCAGCCATTCCTTATTGTGGAAGTTGAAATCTCCGACAAAGGTGATTTGGCTATTAGGATCTGCTGCCATTAGTGTCTCAATGCTGGAAGATAGAATAACAAAAAAAAGAAAAATCCCTGTTGCTCGGGGAGCGGTAAACAGCACAAAATTAAAGCGGTTGAAAGAAAGGATTTGACATTTCAGCCATATAAGCTGAAGTTCACGGTTAGAGAAGTCTAAGTACGAATGTCGAGAAGAAGCGACAGAATGATTGTTATAGGCGCAGACACCAGCTTTAGAGAGAAGAGAAGAATGTAGGGAGTCATTAGGGAACTGAAGATGAGTAGTGTCTAACGAGGGAGAGATTAGTGTCTCCGTCAAAAATAAAGCCAAGGGGGAAGAAGTAGTTTTAACAGTTAACGATTCGATTTTTGTATTGCACATATGTGTGTGACAGAAGACCGGCAACCCAACCGTGAGACTTGGAGTGATAAACCACATAAGGCCTTAATAGGTTGAGTGAGGACTGGCCCAAGCAGTTTAAATTGGGGTTCAAAACAGCTCCGCAACGGGCAACGATCCCTGATGATCATCACTTCAATACAGCGATCACTGTACCGACGTGTGGTGGCGTTGTCTTGCTGTCAAAGCAAGGAAGCCTGCCTAATATTACCGAAACAGCGGGAAGCAGGAGATCGCTGGAATTTCCGATGTACTATCTGTTTTCCTACCCTGTCATGAGTTACAGTCACTGGAAACAGTATCGCAATTTAAAGGGGTTATTTTGTTTGATACCTCTGGAGCCGCTTTGTTTTAAAACAGCTGGGATCTTATGAAAG